CGGTTTTTCTTTCACCTTGATACAGAATTTAATAATCAAATAAATGTGGTAGCGAACAAGACAAATATGTATTTATAATTAAACTTTTTGAATGAATGTCATGGTTTGATAGTTATTTAGGATTTTCCCCCTGTGTTTATGTATCTATATGCATACTGAGATAATGAAATAAACTTAAATAAAGCAAAATAAAACCACAATGAAATGACCATAGCTAATAAACATATTTTCCGGATAATGCCATTGTTTACTGTCAAGGCAGTCCAACTGTACTTCGGTACTTTGATTCTAATGCATGAGTATCGATTGTTCATAACTTTGCATATAAGTCTTTCAAAGTTAAATAACTTGTGTTTCTCTGCGTGAGATAAACTTACATAAACGTATTAACAACGTTCCATGTCACTTGAACTTTAGCCAGAATTATAATGTTGAAATGGATATATTTAATAAAGCGAAGTGTAACGTCTACAATTTCATGAGTAACTAGGAAGAGAACGAAATAGCCTTAGAGCTTACAGTGAATGGGTGTTACTTGCATTATGACATTTTCAATGAATTATACATCTAAATAGAGCAATGCAAATCAAATTTAAATATATAAGTAAATAACAGACGAGATATTTATCTTCTTTCGACCTTAAAAACATTGACAACAGAAGATAAAACACTAACTATTCGTCAAACATTGAAATTCAAATTTTCGCGCGAAAAAAAGTACAATTTTCGCGACTGGCTGTTTTGCTCCTTTTGTCTATTTTGGGATATTTTTGCTCACACTCTCTCAAAATAATATTCGACATCGCTTCCCTCTGAAAACATATATCCAACATGAACTGTGTGCTATTAATTGCTAAATAAGTGGAAAATGACGATAAGTGATTATGACAATTTGTCAAATATCTCTATTTTCGCGCGCAAATTTGACAGCCATATTTACTGTTCACCTTTGACTGTTTCTTTGACAAGATTTCTTTATATTCGTTATGTTTAAACGCTTTGGACTAAAGTGGAAATATTGACCAATGATTTTTTCTTCCCTATCTTAAGCTAATTTATTGATTATTGTACAGTTAAAGAAATCAGGGCATTATAAATATCTTATGAATTGCACGTGATAATCGGAAAAAAGACGAAATTAGTGAAAAATCGTTTTTAGATTTTCTGCGTCATTTGGGGATGGTTTTATTATATTATATGTATAGTTAATGTATAATTATCTAAAGAAAGTGTTTCAATCTATTTGAGCCGCGTCACGACAAAACCAACATAATGCGTTTGCGACCAGCATGGATCCAGACCAGCCTGCGCATCCGCGATCCATGCTGTTCGCTTGCAAACCCTGTAACAAGTAGAGAAACTGATAGCGAACAGCATGGATCCTGATCAGACTACGCGGATGCGCAGGCTGGTCTAGATCCATGTTGGTCGCAAACCCATTATGTTGGTTTTGTCATGGCGTGGCTATTTTCTAAAGCAAAAGACAGGGCAGTAGCAGGTCCGACTGAAAGAATAAGATGTGGGGTAGTGAAACATGCTCCGCCGGGAGTTGTGCTTTTTACTCCGACAAGTATCCACGACGTGTGAAGCCGGAGCTACTTTGCTCTAATAGATTAGAGTATTTTATGTAGATTTATATTCCGTTTCAGAAACATTATATTGACGTTCATTTGTCCAAAAGGTCTATTATACGCTACTACATGTATATATATCCCTGACTTGTCAAATAAAAAAATAATGATAATTGGGAACATCTTGCAAATTATCAAAAAAATGTTCCTTTTGTATCAAAATAGTAAAGTGGTTTCGGCCCCCTACGGGGGTCACGTCAATATTTTCTCAGACGCCGTCAGAAACTGATTAGGTACTTTTAACACTTTACACACAGTTACATCAAAAACCCAAAACCCAAGTCTCTTTGGGACACCATTTGAGAACTGTTTATTGCAAAATAATATACGATAGAACATATGTATAGAATTAGAATATGTACTAGCCGGCATAATACGCACGTAATAGAATACAACGAAATGAATTTTTTTGTCAATAATGTAACGTACAAGAAAATGAAGATGAAAATTATTTGTATTTTTTTTTTAAAATTTTCCCATGTTTTAAGATCAAAATTGTTTTAAATTTGACGATATAATTAAAGTGTGTTAAAGGTGGTGTTAAATTTCTTAAGCAATGTAAATAGTTTCAGTAAATTAACCGCCACCCTGTTATATGATAATAAAAAAACCTTTAAATGAATTTACCAACAGTTTAGTAAAAAGTTACATTCATTTATTAAAATTTTTATTGTTGTTTTCCCCCATTGTTACACTGTTTTTTTACCGTAACTGTATATCTTTTTGTGAATAATATGATATTGTGATTTTTTTCTCTCTCCTTTATTTGTAGACAACATTTGAGAAATGCATTAAACCTTAGAATATTTATCATGTTGAACTTCTAATTTATTTTAAAAAATAATTTTGTAATGAGGTACTTATGCTTTCACGTATTAATATGGCTGCGTCGTGGCGCTCTTTGCCAGCTTGGAATCGTATATAAAATTACTTTGTGTTTTCGATTTAGCCTTTCCGTATGTAAATTATCTTACTTCTTTAGAAAGTGCAAATATGATTTTTTGCTGGTTTTAAAGTATGTAAGCATGCTTGTAACCTGAAGAAATTAGAGATAAATGTGAAATAATTTGTTATAAACGTATCATAATGTAAACAGTGTGGTATTTTGACTTCCATACAAAATACTTTATCACTATAACTGTACTAATTGGCAAAAAGCAACAGATTCAGATATCTGACCAATGAGAAACATTAAAATTCTCTAAAAATAAAAAGCTTTTGAGATATAAGAGTAAACGCATTTCTAAAGCATAATGGGTCTTTAACATTTACAATGTAATTCAACCGTGGGTATCCGACGATGGCAAATAATATACTTTGTTACAAGTATAAAAACTATATGCTAATGCTGCCATGAAAAAAAGCCTGTTTTTGACGTACCAGTCAATACGTTACCCCGCCCCATCCTCGGGCAGGCCTTGCAGCCGTCCCCACACACAGCAGTGTCAACGTGGTGGTTTTGTTTTGGCGCCAAGATATCATCGGATTTTGTCATCCTAGTGTCCCAATCGTACGGGACGGGACCCTCCTCTTTTTCCCGGGTGGGGTCGGGGAAACAAATGACTGGTGCATGGTAATTATACTAATTGTACTGTAGATTAGATTGCAGAATAGAAAAGTAGAGTATATTAATAATTTAATTTGCATCTCTCATATTTTTTGTGACAAGGTAAAGGAAATGAGTTTCTCTGCATTTCTACAATGCTACTGGTTTGAGTCAAACAATTTATGCATTTCGTGTTATAATATTGCGATTACAGAATTCTACCATTAAGATGATACCTTTGATCCATCATTCAATTTAAAGGTACAATGTATTGTTCAATTTCTTATTATGAATAATAATGTTCTGTTCTGTTAAAATTAATACTTTAAAGTGAATTGGTCTATAATGGAATGCCTGTAATACAAAAAATAATTACGTTGATAGTATTTAGTATCACGCATAACAACAAACCGCGAAAAAATTATATATGGATAATGGTGGCAAGATCTGATATTACTTATATTTATACAGCAGATAAGAAATTTTTCTAGAACAAATTATTATTTTTATAAAAAGATTCATACTAAATCACTTTCAACATTTTCTCTTTCAAGCAATATTTTATAAGAATGTCCAACCTTGATTACTGATACACAGTAACCCAGGATCTAACTGATATATTTCTTTATTTTTATCAACATTTGGAATACTTATGCAGGGTCTGTCAAATATTTCTGTAGGCCCTGACCTTTGGAAACTGTGTCCATTGTAGACCAATTCACTCTAATGATATTTGCAATAAAATGATTTCATCTACTAAAGCAGTTTGTTATTATTATTATTATTATTATTATTATTATTATTATTATTATTATTATTATTATTATTATTATTATTATTATTATTATTATTATTATTATTATTATTATTATTATTATTATAAAAGTGTTCTGTTTGAAATTAAAACGACATGAGGATCGTCTGAAAAATATTGAATTATACATTTTTAAAAGAATATTGACCATTGCACGTGAAATGGCTTATTGACGGAAAAGAAAATATTTATGAAACAACTCAAATTAAGAATTTTATTTAAAATTTAATTGCTTGATATCTTCACTAATTACATGAAAGAAATATATAGAAGAACAGATGATAACTGAAAGCATGCTATTGTCCTGAAGAATCTGAATATAGAACAAAATCTGCATGAGCACTTGCATATTTATCTTGAAGCAAGAATCACTACGGAATCAATTATTTTTGTTTAGTTATTTATTTATTTTCATTAAATCATTTGTAATAATAATAATATTATTAATATTAATAATAAAACTTGAATATCATCTTAATAATATTATGCAATTTGTAAACTCACTAATTTAATCTTCTTATCACTTTTTTCAGTCAATAAATGTAAATTTAATAACACTTTTTTATTTATTTATTTTATGTTCGGCTTTTTGTTTCTCATTAATATCAAATAATATCGCGAAATGGGATATTTTAGCTACAGTTCTGGTTCATTTAAAACCGTTATTTAGTTATAGTCACACGAGAGACAAAAAAACCTCTTTTTATTTATTAGTGTTGTTTTTTTTAATTGATTTAATTACTTAAACAATTTTTTATTACTTAATCAAGTGTATCCAGTACATTTCGGTAGCTCTGCTTACACATTAATCGAATTTTTCGTGCAGATAAGAAGCGTTAAACTACAACAGTAAAATATGCACGCATTATGGCAATTTGGATTCTATTTTATTTTGATTGGTCGCTTATATTGACAGTGTGCATATTTACGAATTGGTGTACATACTAATGAGACAGGTGCTCGTTTGATTGGGTTTACGTTTGAACCAATCAGAAACGCCGTTACAAAGACCAATTATCCCAACCTTGCGTGTAGCTGGAAGCGGTGTGTGGCATAGTTTTAAGTGCTGTTTTCTCACACTAAATGGACGAGTATTCTGTGTTGTTTTCCCCTTAAATTATCGGAATTAACACATTTGGATTATCTATTTTTGCATGATAACCATGTATTTTGGATTACCTGTCGGATAATGTGGAGTTTAGCAATTTTATCAAACCATTGGCGGATTTTTTGGAAGTATTTACCCGAAGGTCACCGTACATCCAGTTCGTAAAGCAATTGGCGCTTAGAAACAGTGTATATGCTTCATATTTGCATAATTTCCTTCTAGTTTGGTGTATTTTTGTAAAGGCTAGTTGATGACAGACAGAATGTATCCAAACAGACACCCGGTAAGTACTATTACATGTGAGAGCCGCTCATGAATTTAGTTCCTTTGTTCTGGCCGCCTACATTTCACTGTATGCAAATGTGTACTGCGTTTTACCCGCAATGCGTGTCGATTTACACAAACCGAATGATGAGTCCCGTGCCTGAGAGATTTCGGGAATATTTCTGTGTGATTTGTATCAGCTGTAGCCGCGCTATCAGCGTGTACATCTTCTGACTTAAAATGATTAAATGAAAACTGGTTATTACATGAGATTTAGGTCGAGTATAGGTGGTTCACTGTACTTCACATCAACGCTACATAAAATAATCACACATGTATATAGATCTGCTTGATTTTTCATATAGTACAATGTTCCTTTTATATTTTAATCGAGTACAAATTCTTTGGCTAATTTATAGACTAAATCCACTAATGTGTACAAGCTTTTGACATTTTTCTTCACTTTAGTCCCAGCACCAGCCGGGTCAGCCGTTCAAATTTACTGTGGCGGAATCATGTGATAGAATCAAAGAAGAGTTCAGCTTCCTGCAGGCACAGTATCACAGGTAAGCATAGTAGAGGTTGAAGTCTTGCGAGTATCAGCATGTGCCTGTCCCAGGGCTCGCACTTGCAGTAATATAGCATTTCAGTGGGAAATAGAGCAGTTCAGATTTCTGTATACATTTATTTTAATAGAAGCCAAATTTATGTGGTAAACCTATGAGGCACCCCCTTGATTTGTAGTCCAGACTCATATGTTACATGGAAATATGACCTCTGTGACCCTTTTTTGAAGGATACATTGTACAAGCGTCAAGATATTTAGGTTAACTATGCACAGTTGGTTACTTTTATGAAATTGTCAGGATTTGAATTGTATCAAAATTCATTTTTGTGATTAGATAGGTACCTCATGCACATCTGAAAACCAATGATATAGGGGCAGGCCAATATACACTGAAATAAAAATGTAGTCTGTCACCTGTCTGACAATTTTATGATACTGGCTGTGTAATTTAAGTGAGAGATGCTCCTGGAATAGAGTAAGGGTGATTCTTATTACTTAACATGCATCAGTATGTGGAAACTGACTTGAAAAAAGTAATAGCAAATTTAGTTTGATTAGTTGCAAATCCCTAGATGAGTAATCAGGTAGTGTTTTACACATTTGACCATTTATGTGTGTTTGTCAGCAAAGCTGAACTCAATGGCTCCTTAATTTTTATATAAATAATAGAATTCCTGAATAGTATTTCACAATGGTGAACACAATTTCAGTGACTAAGCATGCACATCAAATGAAAATCAAATAGTACTTATTTATGGATATTTATTTACCAATTCTGTGCCAAAATTAAGAAAAGATTATGTGAGGGTGACATTGTAAAACATCTAGGAGATTTAGGTCAATTTTGTTTTGCTGAATAAATAATGTTCTTAAAACATGTCAGCTGTGGAATATAAGGGAAGTATTAATTAACAGTTAAATATACCATAGGTCTCTAAGTCCATCTGCCTAGCTTGGCTCAGAAAGGATAGGTTCATGATGTTGATTTTAGAAAACAAAACCAACTGGCTAATACTGGTTCTGGACCTCAGAAGATCTGTTAAGTGGCTGTCGACAGTGTGTATGACTGAAGAACTGTTAAAAATTTATGCAAAAATGTGGTAGAAAGATCAACCTCACTGTGACCTAGTTTTGAAAGTGATTCACACAGATTGTAAATGATTATTTTGTATGGCATCTCTATGCATGTAAAGCAATTGGGTTATATTGGGTTATATATGGCAACTTCTAAAGAGTGTTTCCCCATAATTTTATTTTACTAGTTGCCACACTGAATATTGTAATAAATAATGTAAAAGTAAACAATGATTATCTTATAGATTTAAATGAGTATGTGCTTTTTGAGGGTGTCCATAGCCAAGCCTTTAAGGTCATTGACTTAAAATCACTTGCCCTTCACCACTGTGCCAGTTGAATCTTGTCAGAGACTGTGCTTTTTTATGCGGGGAAGCTGTCCAGCTGCATCTGAAGCCTTTCTCTACTAGTGAAACTTGAAAGTTACCATTCTAACCCATACAGTGTTGATTCGATATAAAGCCCATCAAAAAATCTCTTCTTGTAACTCTCCCATGTACCAACGCACAAATTTTACAGTTACATGAAGTTTTTTTAGGTATATAACTCAGTAATTGGCTATCCCTTTCTTTATTGGCACCCAGTAAAACCCAGGGCCATAGTTCAGTTGTTTGCTAATGGTAAAAAAAAAAGTTTATAAGTCATTGGTCATTGACTTATGTGCAAATTAAAGATGGCTGTTAAATGCTTTCCAATTTACTGAAGAAACTACCTCTGTTATTCATGTGTAACAAAACTGCAAACAGCTCTCTGAATCATGATATTATTTTTCTAGCTCTCGATCTGATACTAATCTGGATAATAAAAATTTTGGAAGTTTAAGTGCCCGCACCTACATGTCACGACTAAATCAAGATAATGACAGATTATTACTGATACGAATTATTGACATAATTTTACACTGTGAATTCTATACTTCACAGTCAAATATTTCAGAAATGTTATCATAGGTTTTATTGGTCTATGCATAATTATTTTTGTGAAGCGGTCATGCTAGGAGTTTATCAAAAATATTGGCAAAATGATAGTTTTCCAATAAGTTTGTTATTGCATTAGGTATTAAGAAAGGCCAGTGTTTTTGAAATTTTATTATATTATTCAGTAGGTTTAAATTTATATCTATTAAGCTTTTTAATAATTGACTGTATTAAGCTCATGCCACCCTTGGCATTTTGGACTTATCAGGTCAAGGTACAATATGAAAAATTTACTATCGTGTCCTTAGCAGGGCAGGGATTTAAACCCCAAACCCCCCTATGTGTTGAGAGACACAGACTAAAACCAATATTTATGTTATCTAGAGACCTCTAAACAATTCTGTTCATGTACAAATTTGTTATTCACAAATATTACATTGCCAAAAAGTTTGTATTGATATATGGAAATGCTAACAGTATGCAGGCAGTCTGGTTTATATTCATGGAAATATTTTATATGGTAATGCTGATATCAAGTCATGGATATGATGCCTTGTTGCCATGTTGCTTCAACTGATTTTTTAAAGCGCTCAAAAATTCTCTTTATGTTGCATTGACTGATATCAACATATTTACCGTAGGTTATAACAATCTTGCAGTGATACTCGATGTCAACATATACAATCTCTGTACTACTATAGACAAGATGATATCTGTAAAAATTGCTGATATCATATGTCTGCCCGCTTAGCTCAGTAGGGAGAGAATTGGGTTAAACCCCGTAAACCAGGGTTGTTGGTTTGATCTTCCGGCAAAGGGACATTTCTCTGTGACAATTGACTTGCAGAACAGTTTTGATATCAGATGTATGAATATCGACATTGTCAAGGCAGACATGATGTAAGCAAAGATGTCAACATAAAGATTAGCATGATTTGGGGCATAATTTGTGAAGACAACAGGTTTCAGTATTGTTTGATATCAAAATGAAGAACATCAACATTAGACCTAATTAAAGTCATTTATAACCATAGCAGATACTACCTCACCTGGTTTATGCCTCACCCTTCTGAGATAGTTTGATGGTGAAAAATATCTGCTTAAAGCCCTAATTAATGCTACAATTAGGACATGTCTTGGGCCATTTTTGGGGGCCAAAACCACCCCATTGACTACACAGTATGGGGTTGGGAAGAAAGGTTATTACAAAGCTCGTTTCCCCAGTATCCCCCTAGGGATGGGGGTTTGGTAAATACTATTGACTTGCATATAATGAATACAAGAGCATAGCTGGGATGAACATGGCTCATGATGAAAAGGTAACTTGATGCAATGAGATAATTGCAAAACCATCTCTGAGTCAAAAAAGAGAAAAATTACTCAAAAGTATGATGCTTTTTGAGAAGAAAAACTGATAACGAATTGATGTTGGGTGGGGGAATGGGACAGGACCTTACTTTGGAAATTTCAATGGTGATGGGAACAAGCCTTATTTATTTGATCTTGACTTGTGATGTCTCAGAGACATTTTCAAGATGAATAATTACTGTGCTCTTTATCACGAAAGGTAAGAAAAAAGATAAGAGCTAAAGTAGACATATTTTAAAGGCTGTTACAAATGGTTTGACATGTAAAAACAAATGACAAGCCTTTCAAAAGTTAAAATCTGGTAAAGGAAAGATCCAAAGACATGTTCCAAAGCATAAAGTAAGGCTTGATAAACTAGACTGATCACTGTTTGTCCGAATGGCACACAATTTGTAATGGAGCCACACATTACTAGCTCAGACTTTGTTCTCTATGGAGGGTAAGTTTGAAAAAGAATGTGCTAGAATGCACAAAAATGTACACGAGGGAAAGAACCCGAGACGGCAAAGTGTACAATTAGCCAGTACTTCAGGAACAGACATATTACCAGCAGAGACAAAAGGCATAAAATATTTACCAGTCATGGAATAAAAGAAGTTTGTCACACAAGTATGATATAATGTTAAAGAGATGTGCACAAAGATTGATACTCTTTCGAAGGAAACGTAAGACTTTGCTTCGTCACGTGTTCTTTTGAGAATGATTATAAAAAAGCTCCTCAAATGAAATTGAAGAAGCATGCACTTCTTTGCGAACATCTTGGTTAAAAATTCTCTTCCTTATAGTAATATTCTGACTATCTAGTAGTAGTAGGCCATTTGTAGTCTACCTAGTCTCTGTAGTGTAAATGGCTACTTGGTAAATACAGTAGAACTTCTATGAGTCGAACTTCGATTAGTCGATTTTCTCGATGTGTCGAAGAAAAATGAAAGTCCCGATTCTTCCCCCTATATATTCCTTATAAAAACCTATTCATGAGTCGAGATTTTATGTGTCGAATTTTTCGATGTGTCGAAGTTTTTTCGTGGTCCATATAAAGTAAATCTAGTGTAATTTACCACAAATAAGTCGAAGTTGTTCGATTATTTTGACACCTTCGATCTCGAGACATTTTTCACACCTTATCTGGCTGCGAAGACGATTTCCAATCAACTTGTGTGACAGGTGTTAATTACACAGCCGTGTGTTCAAACGGCCTTTGTTTGCGATAAAATGTGTGATAAAATGCTTTAATCGTTACTATTTTAATTGCCATAGTGGTATTTGAAAGTAAACGGTAAGAACTTCTTTCATTTGAAAGCATCCGTGACCCGGTGTCGCGTGAGAATAACACGCGTAATATTTACTATAAGCTGGTTTAGTTATCGCCCTTTCGTATTGTTACGCCTTTTGTAACTCTATTGTATACGTATAATTAGTCGTGAAAAAAGTTACTTAACATTCTTTATTTATCATTGTAAAATGTAAAATATCAGAATAATGATGGAAAATATAAAATGGGTTTTGTTATAGATCTTATAATTAGGACTAGTCACGGGTCGAAATTTTGTCATGGAATTGAGAGCAATTCATGAGTCGAAGTCCCGATGTGTCGAAGTTTTTACGCAAGTCCCTTCAACTTCGACTTACCGAAGTTCTACTGTATTTTGTTACCATAATCCCTTTTAAAACAAATGGACTTTTCCCAATTCAAAGCAATGGCACATTTATTTCACAAAAATTAGGGGTAAATAACCTGTTTGCCTCCCATCAAGCCAGTTTTGAGTTCAATGGTACAGATTTTTACCTGTTTATATATAGTCTTGTCTGCTTAAAATATACCTATCCAAATAAAAAAAAATGCAGATATTTTAAGTAGATAATGTTAAGTTGACTTAACCTTTTAGTTGAGGACATTTGAACGCCTGAAGTTTTGATAGTTGGCCATGTTCCTAAGAGTGTAAATCTATGTATTGTGTTGCGGGCTTTAATCACGTTTAATTACCAAAATCTTTTCGCGGTCACGTTAATCTTTGTAAAATCTTTATATACAGATCAGACAGATTGCAGCTTTCTAATGTTTTTATTTCAAGAATTCGTAAATATTTTTAGGTTGCCTCAAAATTGAATACAGTAATCGGAGTTTGTTTTGAAAAGTATTTATTATTTGTAAATCTGTGTATAGAGTATAGATATTATTTAAGCTCTGGCAGAGATAATGACATGCCTGTACAGGTGTGCAGTCTTTTTTGACTTTTAATTAATGGAATAATATTATTTAAAAAACCATAAATAATAGTTAAGTAACAAGGTCACACTTGAAAATACGGTCAGTAATAATGGACCTGAAGAGATTTTATAAATAACAAAACTTTCCTGCAGATTTGAAATTGCTGTAAGTAAGTGTACAACTACCCTAGAGATTTGAAATTGCTGTAAGTAATGAACCCAAAGGTCTTTCAAATAACACAACTGCCCTGAAGATTGAAATTGCTGTAAGTAATGAACCCAAAGGTCTTATAAACAACACAACTTCCTTAAAGATTTGAAATTGCTGAAAATTAATGAACCCAAAGGTGTGATAGATAACACAACTTCCCTAAAGATTTGAAATTTCTGTAAGTAATGAACCCAAAGGTCTTATAAACAACACAACTGCCCTAGACACCCATAGCAATTTTCTACCCAGTTTTGATGTACCACCTCTGAAAACTGCTGTCAATAATGGACCCAAGGCTTTTTCCCTCATGATTTTGAAAAAATTGTCATTATACTTGCCAATTTGGGAAAGGAAAAAACCTGGTGTAAGTTTGGATTTTTTGGGAAATCTGCATGATTTTAAAGAATATATTTCAATTGGGAAGAGGCTCTTTTGTAGGCCAGTGTTATATAATGTAAAGAAGCCCTGCAACTCTTTTTTGACTGACTTAAGATGGCCTTTATTCTTAGATTTAATTTTAGATTAATTAAGAAGATTGGTATGTAGATATAACCAGGACTTGTTTGTCACCTATCTTACAACATACAATGTTTTAATTAGATCAAGGTCTAGATCATCCTTAGTAGAACTATATCTAGATTTAATAGTGGATAACATGGTATCAGATAACATAACTTTAAACCTTTTACCATCTAAAGTTTTGTAATCAACTTGACCTGCTGTAAACTTAAAATTTGTCATTGCTACTACAACCTTTAGCCTGCTGGCAGCGACAATCTACCCATGTGACCATTGAAGACCAAGATCATCCGCTGTGGCACAACTGTGCCATCAAGGTCATGGTCTGCACTGTTCGCTATTCAGTCTGTACATATCAGCCCTCAGATCATGGTCTGCAGTGTTTGTTATTTCAGTCAGTATATATATACTTTGAAATTTGAAATAAAAATTCTGAATGGATTAGTTGAGATTGAAAGATGGATCAAGTTGATTTAGAATATTTCGTGAGATGAGGGTTTAAGGAAGTTGATAATCGATTGATTATGAACCCTATTCAATTGGTAAACAAACCAACTACTGTTAGGTGATAATGTTATGAATCCGAAGTTGCTCTTGTCGCCCTTCAACAGTATAGCTATTTTTAGCTCATGTTAGTCATGTGACAAGGTGTTTTCCAAAACAACATCATAATTGTAGAAATAAAGAATAATTGAATAATTGTATGAAGGCTTGCACTCATGCTCATTACACATCTTTAATCCTTGAGTTTTCAACAGTATATAACATTATATAATAGAGTTTGGCCTGTGCACATTGAAATGCAGAAGGAGTCATTGTTTTCTGCACTTCTGGAATTTTAAACAAGACATTTTTGCCACTCATATTCACAGCATTGGTATAATTGAGATTTAAAATATAATTACAATTCTATTGCAGTCTGAAGATGGAGTGTGAAAAACTGGCCCAGGAGAAAACAGAAATGCAAAGACATTATGTAATGGTAAGTGTGCTACTTCTATATTTCTCATAGAAAATGATTGCTGAAGTTTACTAAGGATGAATCCTGTTGGTTGAAGACTCTCGTGTATGTCTCACTATTTAGCTATTTTTGCTCGGTTTTAACGATAAAAAACCTGAAGTTTGTAAGCCAACAGTAGACAGCCTGGTCTCACTGCGCAGATGTGCAGGCTGGCCTGATTGTGCAAAGGCTCTTCACTTTCAGGTTCCAGCAAGGTAAGGGTAATTTGTGGGACAAGTGGGTACGGTATGTAGGTAGGACCACCAACACCTGTCTTGTGTTCAGCTTAGAGCCAGATATCTTTCCAGGGGCAGCGAAATCAATTGTCCGTACTGCCCAGGGTTTCCCACAGCCTGTACGGACAGGAGGACATTTTTAATAATTTGCTATTTAAATATAATACAGACATGTTAAGAAATGCATCTGATAAAATTGGACAAGTTAGTCAAAATCAGCTTTTGCCTGCCCTGCTTTCTCAAACCCTCGCAGTCTTATATGGAACTTTAGTTTCGTAAAGGAAGTTTCTATATTATCAAATTAAAATATCTTCGTATTTATTATATATCCTACTTGTATGTTTTCTGTTATAAACAGTTATTAGGTATGATAATATTCTTTTTAACACATTAAATTTATAGCAAAACTGGAGTGAATTTTTCGTGCGTGTTTAAAAAAAATTCACGTTGTTAGAGTAGAGCAAAGATAGTACAAGCAGACATTAATTGTCTCGAAAATAGAAGATGATTTTTTTGCTGACATTTAAACATAGTATAGAAATTTTGCTGATGAATGAGAGTAAAGTAAGTGGTTACGAAAGTATGATTTTTTTGTTGTTTTCTGTTAAATTAGTTAAAAAAATAGTGATACAACCGTAAAAATGTTTATGGGGGAGGTATTTTTGTTAGGAAATTATTTGTTTGTGAAATATATTGAATTGAAATGTAAGCGGTTAAAGTTAACCATTCTTGTAAACTTACTTAAATTGTTTTACTCTTTTTGATTTCTTTAATATTGGCTTATCTGACAGGTGTCGATCTGACAGTGCTGCTTTTCGTAGAGCCAGGCCAGCCTGAACTTAGGCATTTCTATAAAGGTGCCGACATGTGTCTTGAATAATGTACAACAACCCAATCGTCTGGTTATAAAAAACATTTTTCTGAGCTTGATATCAAATCTCTGGATTTTTGTCAGTGTACGCTCGCTCTGTGGCGGTTTCTTACCATTTTAATACCCGAGATCTTAGTTTGAGCCCCCAAACATTAGAACATTTCTATATAATCTAGAACCTCATAGGTGTCTTCTTTCTGGGTTATTTGTGTTATTTTGACTAAAATAAAAAAAAAAAATAAAAAAAAAAACACCAACAGAATAAAAATACAAGAACTTCTTCGAATTGAAAATCCCTCCAGCAACAGATCGATGGACTAACAATTTTTTTTTTATTTAATCAAGTAAAAAAAAAGTATCAACATTATAGCCAATAGGTTTGGCGGTAGTCTTATTTCTGTCACCTGCTGGGACAGTTTTATTATTACGACGTGGAACTAAGTGACGCTAGTTCCCACTGTTTGACTTTCGCTTCAGTGTCGAGTGGTGTATTTTCCTGCATTGATTTTTGTCTTCTCCATCAAGTATCCGCGTAGAATTAGAATTTAGAAAAATTTTAAGTGCACGAGTTTTTTTGGGGGGATTACAAATCTGGCATAGATTGATAAGTTTTTTTTCTTCTTCCCTGAGTTGGTATTATGTGTCTTTCTTGGCAAATTATGGCACCAGGATGGTAATTTGCCAGTAGTTTGTCTGTGTTTCTCCAAATGTTATTGTAAAAAATATTAAATTTCAGATTTTTAGGAGATCAGTTAAATGTTATTCAGTAACTTCTCAGATTTTAAGATGTTGTACCTATGGCTCATAGATATCTGTTGACAAGGACATGTTTGCTGTGTGGTCCAATCAGGTTGCGGATTGGGATTTCGATTTTTACAGTCCTGTCCTGGTTCTAACCTGGCCCGAGGGAGTGAGGAGTCATTGGTGGAAAGTGGTTAAGGCTACAGGCTTCACATCAATTGCCTCTAACCTCTGTTCATTCGAATCCTGTCAGGTGCTTGGATTCATACATCAAACAGGCTTCACATCACTTGCCTCTAACCTCTGTTGGTTCAAATCCTGTCAGGTGCTTGGATTCATACATGTGAGAAGTCCTTTTATATGAACATTACACTACATGTGGTCCTGTCCAAGCACTTGCTAGGATTGATGAGGACTTGTTCTGGCTTGAATATGTGGTCCTGTCCTGGCACTAACTGTGACTGATGTAGCCCTGTCCTGCAGTTTCTGCATTGAACCAGGAAAGCTCCAGTTGCAGAATAACTGTCAACCTGTTTACTATGTGGTATTTCTAAAAGATATTCCTGAAAAGTTGTAATTATTCTTTCGATACTAAGGAAAAGTTGATTGTAATGTTTAACTGCTGTATAAATATTAATTTGTTTTCATTTTCATAATGTGAAAGTTCACTTGTTTGCCATGAAGACCTTTACATTTATTGTAATCATTTTTAGAATCGGCAGTGAACTGTATTGCATAAATCAGTAATTAAAGTTACCTAACTGTGGCAGGTGTTAGGAATTTGTTACAGATATACAGGCAGGCTCTGGTGGAAAACTTATACTTAAATTTCCCTCGGTGCAAATTGATTAAATCTTTCTTATCATCCAACCAACCACTTAATACTTTTCACATGAAATTAATAAGAAACATATTATTTCTGATGGTAATTTTATCTCTTAACACTTATTTGCTTATAAAGGATAATAAATTTGTGGTAAGATTGGGGGCGAGATTAGTGTATGTACAGGTTTATTGTAAAATGTTTTCCAGTTCCTGCAGTAACGTCTCCTTCAACCTCTTCTATTAAAAGCAACATTTCAGTATCTGGTTTACACTTGTACAGCCGAGAGAAAAAAAAATTTCGAGTGTTTTTTTTTTTTTTTTAAACTTTTTTTTTTTTGCCATGACATCTTTACTGGAGTGTGAATGAATGAGTCAGAAAGCCTGTAAATATTTATTTAAATGTTTTGACCTATTGTGAACGCGGAGGTATCGGGTATCAAAACGGTGTCTTTGTTACCAGACGGGTTTTTTCCAGTGTTTGTGGTGAATGACAGGTATTCTTGTGTGTGATCAAGTTTGAAGAACTATCTCGCGAGATCTTTGATGGTGGTTTAATATCTTAAAATCCATTAGGCTTTAATATTTTTGGCTGTGATTGTTGCGCTAACGCTAACTATCATACCAGGTATGTTTGGATCGAAGTCAATTATCGTCTCGAATATTTGTAAACAATTTGCCCGCCATTTTACCATTCTCTCACTTACCTTTATAGAAAAAAATGAAAATATAAGACTCTTAAACTCACTGTTTCTTCACATCATGAATTATGTAAGAAAGGATTAAGAATATATGAAGTTCTAACCAATATAAGTCCTATCGAAATCGTTCTTATTTGATGTATTTAACCCATTACTTCATATACACGCCTTTTAACGCCTTTTTCACCCCCCCCCCCTTTTTTGTTGTCTCAAATGATGAAAAAATGCCTTATTTAGGCCCCAAACACTTGTTTTTGTTTGAGAAATGTTGTTAAAAAAATTGACCTCTTTTTCGGCGCGGCCCCCCAACCAAAAGATACATCAGGGGGTTGCCAGAAGGGGGATGTGCCCCCTTCTGTTTTGGGGGGTTTGAAGGGGGCGGAGTCCCCCTCATCGCCAAGAAAAATTTTGGACTTGTGAGAGGCTGTAAATGACCCAGATTGATCATAAGGTAACGTGTAACCAACGCTGAAAAGCATTTGACTCTATCTCAATCCATTGATAAGTTGCAGCACTTTGAAATCAATTTTGATGGAAAAAATCAACGCAAAATAGTGATTTTTGGCAATTTTGAGATGTCCCCTCGTTGCCATGGTAACAGAAAATTTAAGTCTGAGCATGTTGTTGCAAGGACAATGGTCCAGTCAACATTTGTGCCAAGTTTGATTAGTGTTGAAGCAGTTTTTATAGTATTATAGCAATTTGAACTTGTAACGGGAGACTTTTCAATGAAAACAGCCATTTTTCACAAAATGCTCATGAAGCAATGGGTTAAGACCAGTTAGCCTTTGTTATGGTGGTAATCCATTCATTTCAACCTTCCCGATACCATGGCTTTAAGTTACATTTAGTCTTTATGGATAGAGATTTATATAAATTTGTACCCATCGTGATGGTCAATTTTATGATTTTCTTGCTGCCAGCCCCATATTATATCCATTCGTTCAGTGCAGTCCAAAATTAGCTGGCAACTGTCTGGTCAGGTTCTGCACTGTTCAATTTTCAGTCAGTTTTCAGTATACAAAAGCTAACACGTAAACCAACTCAAGGTTTAAAATAAAATGTTGGATTCTTTATATATCAAGTATAGACTGGTGGAATTATTTATGAATATTAAATGTAATATTTCTGTTTAACGATGATGTTAGTGGTGTATGCTCTGTTATTACATTGTCTTGGAGTACGTATTGCCATTGCCGAGTGTAGGAGAAACACTTGAAGGTAATTATGGAAAGTTGTGGTTAATTAGGAATCCTAACCACATGGTAATTACTTGTAATTACGACATAAAAGCCTGGAGTCTTTGTTGAACTTATTATCTATGATACTTATATCAACATTAAACTCTTCTGCCTTTTATTAAATAGCATGGTTGAAAAAAAAAACGAATGATAAAAATTAAAAAAAAAAAGTATGAGTGTTGTTTATGTTGTTATTTTTATGGACTAAGTGTTGTTTTTGTTGTTATTTTCAGTATTACGAGATGTCTTATGGACTCAATGTAGAGATGCATAAGCAGGTAAGCCTTTTTCTGTTCTGTGGAAATCAGTATGTAGAAATAGAGATAGTAATTGGTTGATGCTTGAGGGGGCATGGGTGGTACCTTTCATTTACCATTACCAACCACGAATAGGCTCAGTTAAACCATGCCTGCAACATTTTCATTTTTTTCCATTTTGGACGTTCTTTAGGGTTTTATTTCTATCTCTATGATAATAATTATGTTAAAAGAAATAGTTGGTCAACTTTGAAGAATGACGCTGTACATAAAGGTTAACTTTACTGTAATGTATAATCATGATTGCGTTTGTTAAAGCTTGCTCGTTTCAAGTTGAAAATAGATCCATGCTGAATTACTAACTGCTGCGATAGGCAATTAAATTATGACTGATCCATAATTTTTTTCTCTCTCTTGTTAGTAAAGATCTCTGTCCGGCAATAGGAAAACATAGGATAAATATGTAGTTCGTCTGTGTGGAAACACGTGTAACGGTGTACATACACACTGTTGAAAGGATTGTGTGTTTATACCAGCTGACATGAAAACTTGCGGTTTATCAAACACCATTTACTTGTTCCTACATCAAGTACAAACATGAAACCACATTCAGACGATGTATAATATAGACCATGCACAATTATTATTAGTTGTTTCTTAATTAGCCTCATGTGTGATTAATACAAGTTAGCATTCTTGAAACAATGAATTTAAAGATTTCCATTTTGTTTTGACCAAGTTTTATAAATTTAAACAGTATATCTATCTAAGCTTGGTTTTGCTTATTTTAACTATACTTTTTATTCCTCTTCATTTAAATTTCCAGTACTGATGTTGTACCAGGAAATCCATTTGTGACCCCAGTAGAGCTTGAACGTACTAAACTTAAAAAACTTTGTTATTGTTCATAATTAACAAGTGAGAAAAATGTACAAGGCAAACAATGTAATATTTCTGATTAGAAAAAAAATCTAATCTAGATAAATACAGAATAAACTGGTTTTGTGGGGGCAAAATATTAATGTGTGAAAATCTGAGTGACCGAATGTACACAGTATAATAACACTGAATTCCGACATGGCAAATTAATATTGTCATCTCTCCGTGATATGGGGAAGATAAAAAGACTGAGAAAGTACGGCCAGTAGCGATTTGGTCACCTTGCCTCTATTTTAGCTTGTCCAGTCACACCTGAGGGCACACTGATAATTGATGTTATTTATCTGATTCTACGGTCTACCATTGTAAACTGTGCATTATAATTTCAATACAATTAGTCGGAAAGTTTGCCGCAGGAGTTTTTTCAGATCGAGTGTGTTTTTGTGGTGATAGTTGTTGACAATGCACCGTGTGTCATTACAGGGAAAATCGTTAAAATTATCGATGCGAAACGCTATTTGAACTATGGGTTATGTGGTAATGTGTTAGATTGAAAAATGATAGTTACAATTCATTAAACCGGATCAATGTGTTACAGTATAAAAACCAAATTAGTTCTTTTGTTGATTTAGTAGATTTATCTATGTACGTATATGATTTAATTTTCAAGTATCTCAACCATGAGGTGGTTATTTAATAATATTTTAGTTAAATAAAGGTTTTAACAAGTTTAGATTGTAAAGAATTTATGTGACCCTCGATCAAGAAATGGATATTGAAAACTGTTTTAAAAAGTTTTGAAAAGGTCTTTTTTGTTTTCTCCTTAAATTTAGTAAAAAAAGATTGCCTAAAATTTAAGCAAAGGTCAGTAGTAGATCTGAGGTTTTCATCCCCACCCCCCACCACCTGATTGATAGATCTGTATGACATTATTGTTTTTGTCTATCTGTCTGTCTGTCTGTCTGTCAATCAAAGTTTTTTTAACATTGACCATTACACAGAAACATGTCCAACTACAGCCCCAAATTTCACAGGTGCATATACCTTACCAGACCCACTTTGAGGTCAAAGGTCAAGGTAACCCTTATGGGCAATTGGTTCTTTTGAATAATGTCCAACAAAAGTGAATTTTCCAGAATTTACATGATGAATATCATATGGACAATTATAGAATGTCTGGAAAGTATTGACTAGTGTAAATCAAATCAGATAGTGTCAGCCATGTAAAGGTGTTACTGGGTCCAAGGCTGTAGAGAAGAAAAATAAAATGTTATTTTAGGCAAAAAATTTAGTCACCAGTCATGACATTCCTGTGGTATAAAATAAGCAACCACAAAGAGATTGTGTATGCCATGAAAAAAAAGTTGTCACATGTAAATTAATGGTTTGGTTAGAATTTCGTGTGCATGTGGTTATTGCCAAAAAAGAAGAAAAAACACGTCTTTGAAAATAAAAATGCGGGCAGGTTATGTTTATACTCATATTTGCGTAATAATCCATGCATATATACAATATATATATTATGTTGCTCATGTTATATTAATGTTTAGAATAAATATGGGAAATCTATTGTATAAATAATTAATATGCTTAATTTAGGTATGGTTTCGACGAGATAGCATTAATTAAGGGTTCGTAATTATTAGTCCAACTGGTTCTTTCTGTATCAGAATGTCTGAATGTTACAATTTGACGCTACCAACGGATAGAAAAAAAACCGCCATGTATAGAACACTGTTATCATCATCAATAACCAATACACTTGTCCGCCACCGCCTTCCACTCCATAACCAGCTAGCAAACAACAACAACAATCGCAGCAACAACATTTCCGGAAATGCATAAAAGCAGTTAACGTTGACTTGCTCCATTGATAAAACATGCTGGGGAAAAAAATACATGAAAATTTTAACAGTTTACCTGCTGAATTTGTGAAACAGCCTTGCTTTGCTTTGAATTTGAAATAGAAGGTTTGAAAATAAAGGTATTTCAATATCAAAATACAAAAATTGTGTTGGCTGGCCTGACTATAAAAGAAGAACTGCTAGAAGCAATAATGTACCTGCATATAGAAGTAAAACTGCTACAACCATATAAGGTACCTGTGTACAGAAGTAAAACTGCTACAACCATATAAGGTACCTGTGTACAGAAGTAAAACTGCTACAACCATATAAGGTACCTGTGTACAGAAGTAAAACTGCTACAACCATATAAAGACTAAAGTACCTGTGTACAGAAGTAAAACTGCTACAACCATATAAGGTACCTGTGTACAGAAGTAAAACTGCTACAACCATATAAGGTACCTATGTACAGGAGTAAAACTGCTACAACCATATAAGGTTTCATATGTACAGGAGTAAAACTGCTACAACCATATAAGGTACCTGTGTACAGAAGTAAAACTGCTACAACCATATAAGGTACCTGTGTACAGAAGTAAAACTGCTACAACCATATAAGGTACCTGTGTACAGAAGTAAAACTGCAAGAAGCATAATAAGGTACCTATCAACATTTGATAAGTTAAGTGGAACAGCTAGAAGCATAATAAGGTACCTGTCTACATACGATAAGTTGAAGTAGACCAGCTAGAAGCATATAGCAGCAAATCTGGGTCACTACTGTATGATGGAAACACCAAAATAGAACATTTGGCAGTTTGATGAGGGAGTAGCCATATAAATAAGTGAACCAAAACTGTTACAAGCAGCACTTGGCAGACAATATACCTCCTGTTAAATCAGACACAAAAACAGAAAATGGAAAATGGTTGATATACTATAACATGAGAAATGGTACAAACGAAAGTTCCAATGAATAAAAATGCGGTGAACAAACGTTTATTTAACTTCCTAATACATAATGAATCAGTATTTGTTGTTGTTGAAGATATTGTACTTTTATATTCAAATCGGACGAAGAAGAAAAAAAATGCAGGAGAATATGCGAGGAAGTTGCGACGATTGATTAAGATTGAAGATGTTTCAAGTGTCGGAACAAGTATTGTGAGGGAAGTTATCTCAAGTGTTGTATAAAAGTCACTGAGCGCGTGGTTCCTGATGCTGAGTGCCGGCTAAGTATCTATGTGTTATATTACCTTCTACGTAAACAACGGAAGAGTGTTGAAGTATTTCACTATTTAGAAAACTTGTCATTTCCACACTTTACGACGTTTTTGAATGCCGCTCATTGTAATTGGTCATTTGCGATTGTGTGATGCAAGGGGAAAGTGTATAGGGCGTTTCATGCACATTGTCTCAAGTTAGTTGTGTCCTTATTGTAAACTGTTCCAAGGTCAAAAGCTTATAATGACTGTAAAACGCTGAGTAACCCCTCGTGTGTGTTATGAGTACAAAGTAGGGCCGTTTTTTCATGAACATGGGAATATTTAACCAAGTGTGATGAAATTTGTGAAACTGTAGACCTATTTTACATTATCTCAGGTGGTAGGATCAAAAGAATATTCCATTTTTCTGCTGGCTAGTATTTTCTAGTAGAATTTGCAGCAGCTAGGACGGTCAAGTAGAAAAAATGTGACTTGTTTGTAGAATATATACGAGAGACTCATCTGGTGGCTTTGAAACCTGTTTTGGACTTGGTAGGCGCTATCATTCGGATGAAAAATAAGCTTTTTAGTATTACTTTACATTTCATGATATCTGAAGAAAAGACCTAAAATATTTGCAAGCTATTATACATCCTTTTAAAATGTTCATCATCCTTTTAAAATGTTCATAGTTACGAGGAAGCAATTTCAAAAAGAAAATAAAAGATAACTGAATTGGGAATGATAATGTTTGAAATGGGTAAAATGATATTTATAAGTTCACATAATTATTTTAATGGCATTTTTCATAAAGGGCCATAATTATACGCGGTTTTGGGAAATTTTCACAATTTTTGTTGATTTTTTAAACATTGCTTTTCATTTGGGAAAAAAAGCACTTTATTCAGATTAATTTTAAGTGCAAAAAAAAAGAAGAAGATTCATCACTGAAAATATTATTGCAGTGCATACAGAAAATATTATTTCAGTACACAGAAGAATGTTTGGTTTTGTGGTAAATTCAACTGAGTAATCAAATACATGCTATTGGCTTGACTAATACTGAATATACCATGGCTAAATAGACATA